TTTAAGTGGATGATCGAGATTTTAATTGCATAGAAATAGAAATTGATTCTTTGAAGCTTTCCATAGGTCCTCTCTGCTTTTAAAGTCTTCCGCTGGTCTAAGGAAGTTTTTCCTCTATGGCGGACACAGCAGCAGGGCTTTAAAGCCCCGGCACCATGTCTGCCGTAGAGCAGGATGGCGGACACAGCACCAGGGCTTTAAAGCCCTGCCGCCGTGTCCCGCTCTATGGCTTTAAAGCCCTGCCACCGCATTCCGCTCTATGGCGGACACGGCACCGGGGCGTCCGAACGCCTGCCGCTGTGTCTGATATAGGGTGGCTTTTGCCCACTTGCCTCACCAGCCATAAACCTCACCGCATGTCACTGGTATGTATGTATGTATGTATGTATGTATGTATGTATGTATGTATGTATGTATGTATGTATCTGGTGCATATATTTAAAGCGTATCCTCCTTACCACAATTTAATTTATAATTGTAATGAATAAAAATGGTATTTTTATATGAGTCATAATTAACAAAGCAGGTTTATGTTTTCTGCAGCATGGCGTTATGTTGGTGCAACAGGAGGCTTCCTCTTCATCATCATTCAGCTTATCCTCCTTGTAGAATTTGCACACAAATGGAATAAAAACTGGTAGGTTTCTTTCATCCTGCATATAAAAGGAAGTGTCTGTTTAGGTGAATTCTATTTTTAAATTAAAAAAAAATCAAAATCACAGTTGATCTGTGTTAAAGTTTTACAGCAGGCATTCTCGTTCAGTTTTTCCTCTTCAATTGTTTCTTTATTTTTAACCATCCAGCTTCCTCTGTTTGCAGTTTTTTGTATACCTTATTTCCTATTTATTGTCTGTCGTACTTTTCACTTGGATAAACAAGCCTGCTACAGCATTCCCTCAGCTGGTTCTCTTAGTTTTGGTTATTAAAAATGTGTGACTTTCATAAGGGAGTTAAATCTAAATTTAAAGATAAAATCTAAATCTTTGTGGGGTTTAACAGTTATTGAATTGTTCTACCTTTCTTATTCAATTTTTTTCAAGATTCTTAGATATTGTTTTTGTAATCTAAATTTAGAAAAAGTATCTTTAGTCTTTCCAAATATATCCTAAAGTAAACCTTAGATTGTCTTAAATCAATCATTTCAATTTGCATAAAGCAAAACAGGGTCTTTTTTAGCCTTGAAAGTTTCACCATATTGAGCACAAGTTAATCTTGTGTATGTATCCCACATGCCTTATTTTAAATATTGAGAAATACACATCTTTTAAGCTGAGCTGGGAAGTCACCGGTCTGTCCCCAAGTTTTACTTCCCATCTCTCCAGCAAAGTTTAAGAGAATCTTGGGGCCATGCTCTTAGAGAGTATGGGGCCATGCTCTTAGAGAGCATGGGGCCATGCTTTTAGAGAGTGAAATAAGTTAAATGTTAATCAATATATTGCTGGTATAACTAGAAACAGTACAAACTAATAAAATGCAGTATTCTAAATACTCTGTAAATTTAAAATAGTAATTGAACACCCCTGTCTAAAGAACAATATCTTTCTGCATAAAGAGTTAATTCTTAATCCACTTCACAAAGACCTAATGAACTAATCTCCTTTGGGGGCTTTTAAATCATTTGTTTTTATTCAAGTTTAATGCGTGATTGCTTTTCTTTCCCAAATAGGACATCTGGTACAAAGCACAATCAACTTTGGTACGGCTCCTTAGCTCTTGTAACTCTCGTATTGTATTCCGTGGCTGTTGGAGCTCTAGCTGTGATGGCTGTCTTTTATACCAGTGCTGATGGCTGTACATTTAACAAGATCCTGCTTGGCATCAATGGCGGCTTGTGCTTGCTTATTTCAATGGTAGCCATTTCACCTTGTGTCCAAAACCGTAAGCAAGCTTTCTTTTACTGTCACTCTGGGCTTGGTTGCTTGGAATTGGAGGTCATTTCCTAGCCACATTCAATCCTTTAGTTTATCAGTAATCATAATCTGGGGAAAAATAAAAAAAAACTATTTAAAGAAGTCAGATCATAGGACCAATAGTAGAAAAAAAGGCCTCATATTCTGTCTGGACAAAATGAGCTTGTTCATGTCCTCTTAACACTGAAACTGCAAACTGAAACATTGTTTTGTGTATAAAATGTAGTAGTTCTAAAGCATAGGCAAAATTGATTTTATTGCTTTCATTTTAAAAATCTTTTTCTGCAACAAAAATGGTATTTATTCTGAAGTAATGGAGAAGACCCAGCATAAGACTTAAATCTGGAATTACTGACGGCCATATTTCCCAACTTTCAGTAACTCAGTTGAATTTCAAGGGTTTTTTTGTTCTATCAATCATGATCTCTGACATATCAGTTGAAACCTCTTGGTAGAAGGGAATCAATTTATACCCACTGGTGATTTTGTCAGTCCATTCATGTAAAGTTCACTATGGTATTTAGGTTACATCATGGTGGTAACTCAGTGGGGGACAGCATGTTTTCCATGAAGTTCATCCCAAATTCAATCCCTGGCCTCCTACTTTTAAAAAGCACTTAAGAGAAGGTCACATAAAATACCTCCTCTAGAGAAGTAGACCATAGCTTGTCAAAGTATATTTAATTCATGTGTTAAAGCGAATTTTTAAATCCTATTCCTAAGGGAATGTATGCATTATTAATTACTACCCAGATAACCTTTATGATGCACTAAAATTAAAATCAATTCTAAGATTCAATATATAATTAAGTTCTATTATCTATATTATGGAAAGGAGATATTTATTATTGGGAATTTATAGCCTAGCACTCCATATTTTTCATTAAAATAAGTAGCAGCAGGAACTGAAGATTGTTTCAGGGATTGAGAAATGGTGAGGAAACAACTTTCTTTATATATATATTTATGTTTATTTATGTTTAAAATACACAGCCTTTTTCAGGTCAAGGGCCATACTTGAACCTGGGTTTTAATTTGCTGAAGACTATATTTTGTGGAATGAGTGAGGCAAATGAAAACATTTTTTTTTACTGTTAAAATGACTACTACTCGTTATTTAATCATTTCCTTTAAAAATTTCAATCTTGTGTCAATATCTGAAGAGATTATGAGGACCCAACCCTAAAGAACTCCTTTTGAAATCAAAGGGATTTCTGTTAGTCAAAACTGTTTGTGTTCATTGATTTCAGGGAGGTCACTCTAAATATGACTAGATCTATATTTAAAACCATCTGTGCTTGGTATGTGTTTGGTTTCCCCAACATCCCTTCTCCTCAATGTGGTTATTTTGGGGGAATGAAAGTACATTTTTGTGTGTTAAACTGAGTTCAGGTTTAACTTGAGTTTTCTCAGCTGTTTGTATTTTCTCAAGATTCATTTTACCCTCTTGAACTTTTAATACACTTCGGTGACAGAAAACATAATTCAAGAGCTGAATTATTTGTCTCTCTTTTGAGGGCCAAGCAGAATAGCAGGGGAAAGTAATTTGAAGGGTTGGTTATAACTTTCACAGAGATCTAATCCTCATACATTTTGTTTTGTGATTGGGTTGGATCTATGGTTCCGGTTTCTATTCAGCTAAAGCACTCCTCCTGTCCACCTAGGGGAGCCCTGGATTTAAAATTAAATGTCCATGAGCTCAACAAAACATTATTTACAGTATGAACCGCTTTACCAAAGAAAAATCTACAGATGTATCCCTGTTTTAAAATTTCAGGTCAGCCTCATTCTGGCTTGTTGCAGTCAGGTATTATCAGCTGCTATGTCATGTACCTCACTTTCTCATCCCTTTCAAGCAAACCTCCAGAAATCAGTAAGTTACCTTGAATTAAAAATCAACATATACATGGGCACCGATCACCTATGTAAAATTACCCTTCTCTTAACGTTGTACTTTCCAAATTATGTTGCCTGTGTTAATTGGCCATTCTGAAAACCCAGTACACCTTGAAATCACCAGACTGGAAACTTCCAATAACACCACAAAAAATGTATTGTGTAACATATACTGTAGCAATTATTTAAAAAAAAATTTTTATTTAAATTTATAGGCTGCCCTTTTCCCTAAGGGGACTCAGGGCGGCTTACAATTAATGGGAAGGGAGTGTAGGACAAAACACAAGAAGAAGAAAAATGTGAATAAAAAAAATAAAAATAAAAAATAAACCGATAAAACACAACATTCATTCAGCATTCGGGTGGGGCAAAGTACAGGTCTTATCCCCAGGCCT